GCGGCCACTGCACTCCAGTCTGGGCGACAGAGTGAGACTCCAACTCAAAAAAAAGAAAAGGGGACCAGGCACAGTGGCTCACACTTTTAATCCTACTACTTTGGGAGGCTGAGGTGGGAGGATCACTTCAGTACAGGATTTCAAAACCAGCCTGGGCAACACAGCGAGGCTCTGTCTCTATTATTACTAAAATTAAAAAAAAAAAAGAAGCTGGCCATGGTGGCTCACATCTGTAATCCCAGCACTTTGGGAGGCCAAGGAGGATTGCTTAAGGTCAGGTGTTCGAGACCAGCCTAGACAACATAACAAGACCTCATCTCTAAATAAATACATAAATAAAAAGTTAGCCAGGTGTGGTGACACGTGTCTATAGTCCCAGATACTAGAAGGATTGTCTGAGCCTAAGAGGTTGAGACTGTGGTGAGCTGTGATGGTGTCACTGCACTCCAGTAACAGAGTGAGACTCCAACTCCAAATGAATACACACACACACACACACACACACACACACGCAAGGTGGTGTGACTCATGCTTGTAATTCTAGCACTTTGGGAGGCTGAGCTGAAAGAATAGTTCAAGACCAGCCTAGGTAACATGGTGAGACCTTGTCTCTACAAAAAGTTTTAACAAGGCATGGTGATGTGCACCTTGCCTGTAGTCCTAGCTACTCAGGGTGCTACTCAGGGGATCATTGAGTCTAGGAGCTGGAGGCTGTGGTGAGCCGTGATAGTGCCACTGCACTCAAACCTGGGCTACAAAGTGAGACCCTGTGTGCCCCCCCCAAAAAAAGGAAAAATAATAGGTGCTACTTTTCAGTGCTAAGTAATTTTACAGATATCCTCTCATGTACTTTCCACATGAACCCTATGAAGCAGGTATTGCCATCATCAACGTTATTTTACAGATGAGGGAACTGAGGCACAGATGAGGGTGGTTAAGTGACTTGCTCAAGGTCTCACAGCTAGTGAGTCGGGACTCTTGAACCTGGAGCCTGTGCTCTAACCACACAAGCTTTAACACACTCTTCACCCTCATTCCAAATTCCTTTTCACATCTGCTCTCTCCCCTCACTTCACAGCAGAACTTCCAGAAAAGACTGTCTAGGCAGGCACCAGAATCTCCAGGGAGATTCGTCTGGCGCTCCTCAGGATTACAAATGTCGAGGTCACCAAATGCCCCAGGCCTCTTCGTTTCTACCCAACCAGCCTTCTGGCCAGCACCTGACCCCGCGCTTAGTCCTTCCTCCGCTATCCCTTCCTTCCTCCAGCTTGCCGCACCCGTTGGGGGGAATTCCCCCGTGTCTGTCCTCATCGGTCTTCTTCACCCTTTCTCTTCCAGCCTGAACCGCCATCGGCGCCATGTCCGCGGCTCCACCCACGGGGGTCCCCACGCACGCGGGGTCTCTCTGCGCCGCGCGCCCCCATCTCCCCGTCCCCCACTCGTCGGGCGCCCGGCCCCGCTCCCCGGGGCAGTCTCCACGGGCCGCCCCCGTGCTGGGGTTGGGCGCTCGGCTTTGCGATCCCTCGCGCCCCGCGGCGCCAGCACAGCCCCAGCCGCCCGGCTCCGTGACGCGGGGTCGCCTGTGCCCCCAGCCCAGTCCGTGCGTCTCCGCCGCGGGCAAGCGACTGTCGTCCGCCACCGCCCCATCTCCAGGCGCGAGCGCAGCGCCGGCGCCCGACCCAGGGCGGAGGAGCCGCCGGGCTGCCCGGGCGCCCGCAGGAGGGCGGGGCCCAGCGAGTCGCGGGCGGGCTCCGCAGCCTCGACTCCAGGTCCCGGGCCGCACCCCGGGCCCCCGCCCGAGCGAGCGGGAGCGGGGCGGGGGCGCCGGGCCACCCACCTTGGCGCCGCCTCCGCCGCCAC